TTTTACATATGCACTTGTTTACTATTCAGTAATGTAAATATAAAGACCTGAATTTTAAATCACCAATAAATTAAATATTTGAGTGAGTAAATTAATTGATTGGCTTTAATGATATAAAGTGTATGTACATTAAGGGTATGAGAATAGAGAGATATTCCTAAAGAATTTTCATTGACTAATGATTGACAAATTTACTCTAGATTTCTTTTTCCAACTCTTGTAATTAACACACTTTCATCACCCTCGCTAATGTGTTATTTTACATCCGATCTTGTATGAAAAGATAACATTAACAGACAGGAGACATAAAAATAAAATTATTTAAACAAATGTTTTATTTTGTGGATAAAGGACGAAATTTGTGCACATGTATCATTCTAAATTTTATTTGACGAAATTCTATTTTATGGATAAAGGAAACTGACGAAATATGAATAAAAATACAGTAAAAAATGCGTTTTGTAGTCTATTAATAAATAAAATACTGGAGCTTATACTTATACTGGAAATATGAATTACTGTACAATGAATAGGCCTACAGTTTGAAATTGTATAATGAATAACAATACTGTTCTGTAAAACAAATAAAATACTGAAGCTTTACAATTCTTCAATGTAAGACACTTAAAAAGAAATCCACATACCTGAAATAAATAAGTAAATAATACTGTACATGAAAGCAATTATTATATACATACAATACCTAAAATAAATACGTACATATTACTGTGCGACATGACAGCAATTATTTAGTTTAGCAAAGGCTTAAAGTTCGGCATACGCCGCCACAGCATGCAGTGTGGAGAAATGCCCAACTGGCGCTCCATATAAATCTTGTGCGGCCGAAGGTGTCGGCGGCCGAAGAAGTCATATCTAGTGACAACTCCCTGGTTATAGTAAACTAAGCCTAAAGCAAATCAATTTTGTCACAGTCACAGTATAAAATATTATTAATAAAGCGTTATGATAGAATCTCTAATTTAGTGTACAGTAAAGCAATCGATGTCTTACATTTCCAATGACAATGTCAACTATTTTTTTTGCCATGCCTTAATGCCTAGGCTCTACCCATTTGCTGAAGAAGTAGGCTAGCCCCTAGGCTAGCCCCTAACCTATCTGTCTGTTAATTTTCGTTTTGATACCGTGACAGCCTTTATGGTTTAGCCCGTCACAACCACGCACAATAGAAAATACTCCGACATTTGATTTGAACTAAACAAAAAATTTTGTCCAAAAGTATTGCATAGCCTAGGCCTATTCAGTAGTAAATATTTTTATAACAAGTTTAAAAAAGATATTTTCAGTAATAACATTGTTTTTATTTCCATTTCTAGGTTCCCCTCATTTCAATTTGTTGGTATTGGTCAGGTATGTATTGAATAAGTATTTTGCTTCTTCTTATATATACTGTAGGTTGACCTTTTTATATAGGTTGACCTAAATTTTCTTTAGACTCTCTCACAATTGCTCAGCTAATCTTTGTAAATGTATTTTTTTCCCTTTTTTTTTTTTACTCTTTCCTCAATGAAGTACAGTAGAAATCTTTGAATGTTCTTTTGTTCTATCAAAACAAAAAAACTTTTGTTCTATCAAAACAAAAATACTTTCTTTAAAAATCACCAATTAGTTTCTTTACAGATGGTTGCAACCATTGTTTTGTTGTATCTTGCAAAATGTGCAAACATTGTCACATTTCCTGATTTATCAATGCAGATTCCAAAGAAAGTAAGTTAAACATCTATGGTATAAGTGGTTAATTGATTTGATCATTAAGTAATGTCTAGTACATTACACTATTATGAGTTAAAATTTGTCTATGGCAGGTGATGGTGATGCGGATGAAGAAGGGATGAGGATGATGTGGTTTGAAGATATTGGGAATGATAAGGATGTTAAAAATGAGGATGATATGATGAGGACGATAATGATGATGACGATGATGATGATAAAGATGAGGATGATAAAGATGAGAATGGTAATGGTAGGATGATAATGATGAGGTAGATAATGATGGAGAAGGTATTGATAGATGAGGAAGATTATGGAGATGATGATAAGATGAAGATGATAATGGTGAGGATGAGAATAGCAAGGAGGATGATGAGGAAGATAATGATGTAGATGATAATGATGAGGATGATATGATGATAATGATAATTCCTCGCCAATGTTTGTTTCGCAACTAATTCATCCTTATATTGCTATTAGAGATCTAGTTCAAAGTCTCAACTTGCTCATTCTATTCATCCGTCTTGGACTTCTGTCTTTCTTTGGAATGCTTTGCCTATTACAATCCGACAGGCAACTTCCATTGTTGATTTTAAGGCAGCTTTAAAACTCACCTTTTTAACATGTACTTTTCTTAAATTTCTCCTAGCATTTTTATTTTTATTGTTAAGCGCATTGGGGCTTTAGCATAAATGCGCTATATAAGCCAAAATTATCATTATTATATTATTATTATTATTATGAGGATGATGATAACAATTAGGATGATAATGAGGAAGATATTGATGAGGATGATGATGATATTTATGTGGTTGAAAAGCGTGAGGATAAAGAGAATCATTGGTGGATCCAGGGGAGGTTCAAGGGAACTCCCCCCCCTCTGTTAAGAAGCATAACAAAATACAACTGGGTCCTGGCTTACAAAAGGCATGCTAACCTACCTAGGCATAGGTTGGAAGATCAGACAATCTAGGCTTAGTCCATCTAGTTTTCAATTAAATAAATTATACACACTCTTTTTGGTTCGCCGTCATAATAATTTATGTATGAAAGTGAGTTCTTCACTGAGGCCTATCGGTTCATCGATCCATTGAAGAAAGACTACATATCTAACTACTCAATGTTGTCGGGATATAATAATATATTGCCTGTCTTTGATTTTTTTTTTTGCCCTCTCTGATAGGCCTAAAGAAAGAGATAAAATTAAGAACTTAAAAGTCATTAAAAGACTCCTCAGAAGTCGGAAAAGCTCATTTCCGGCCATCTAGGAATCAAAATTTTCTGGGGGGGGGGGGACCCCCTCTTTTAAATCCTGGATCCGCCCCTGAGAATGATGGTGGTGATGAAGATGATATCACTTCCAAGGTTAAATGACAAACATCAGTCTTTGAAGACTTAAAATGATGTTATCTATTTCTACAGATCTGGCCCCTACCTGTAATTTACCTCGGTAACATGGTATTTGGACTTGGTGGTACTAAAAAACTCAGGTTGGTTTGTACGTGGTATTATATCAATAGTTTTATTCTGTATAAAATATGGTCGGGCTTTTTTCTTACCATCTATTGTCTCCTTGTTTTTATTTCAGCTTGCCAATGTTTACAGTTCTACGAAGATTCTCGATTCTCTTCACAATGTGTCTGGAATTCCTAATATTAGGGTGAGTAGTGAAAAGACCATGTGGTAAGGGGAATGTTTTATGCAGTGTCTCAATAAAGAATAAGTTTAGCAGGGCTAGGGGCACCTGGAATCACTCAGAGCGGCTTAGAAAGTGGCTTGTCTTTGCCACATATTGTGATATAAAGAGATAAAAAAGATATGAGATAAAATATAATATGTATTCAGTATTACTGTATGCTAATAAAAAAAAAACAACAACTTCATTTAAAGTTAAAATAATCATTGGAATTATCATTTCACAGGAAGAAAACGCCGCTACGCGTACAAATAACTGTATTTACAATGATAGCAGGAGCTATTATTGCGGCAAGGTGGGTGGAGTAACAAATAATGAAATATCATTTATAAATAAATTTTGTTGCGTTATTGTACAAGCAAAATTCATTTTGAAGTTTTGATTTTGATCATTTTGAAGTAACATAAAAATTGTCAAAAAAAAGTTTATCCATAACACTTTCAGTCACTGGAAATGTTTTATTATTTATCATTATCTGGTATATAAATCAGGGTACACATTTTTTTAAGTACAATAATTTCTATGCTCAACTCAAGTTTATAATTTTTTTTTTTGTCATTTCCAGAGGACAATACATTTTACGACTTCAATGATAACATCAGGACTAAAGTTTTCCCAGTAAAAAGAATAAATAAATAAATAAAGTTCATGATTGATGTATGAAATTTATCAATAATCTTAAATATTAAAATTTTTTTGTATTTTATTACAGCGACGACCTGGCCTTCGAAATGATGGGCTATTTCTTCATTCTGATGAATGATGTCTTCACAGCAGCAAATAATGTTTACGTTAAAAAGAAAATAGAGTCAAAGGTTAGTTTGTGTCACAGATCTATCATTAATAATGAAACTTATGAATAATAATAATAGTGTAGATTTATATAGCGCCGTATCCATCTAATATATTAGGTGCTCAGGGCGCTTGATATGTGGGCTAGGAACTCGATCAGTGACTTTCTTCGCCCCTAAGGGTCCCTTAATATCTGTGCTACCCGGTACCAGCAAATCTCATCGTCCACCACGGGGGCTGTTATGGCTGTAGGTTGCAACGCCCCTGCCTTAACCGCTCGGCCATTTGACTCTCCTGTAAAGGTCCCAAATGTTCACCCTCATTAAATATGGTTCCCACTCTCATTAAGAATCTTCCGGAAAATAGCCCATCCTGCAAATTCACAATGTTGGCATGTTTCTGCTACTGTTATCAATTGTTTGTGTTATTAAAACTCATTTAAACAGAAAGTGGCTTTTTCCAGCTTGGGGCCATAAAATAAATGTTGTTATTGTAGTTTTAGGTGGCAATTATTATAAGAATACCTCATGTATTTCATATTCTTGTTTCAGGATTTGGGGAACAATGGTGTTTTATTTTATAATGCATTATTTATGGTGATTCCTTTGTCGTGTATAGCAGTTTATAATGGTGAAATAGATAGAGCTTTGCAATATGAAAATTGGCGCGATCCTGTATTTTTCTGCCAATTCGTGTTGGCTTGTATGTTTGGGTAAGTACGTGGTTGGTTTTATTTGATTAGAATTTTATTGAAATGAAAACCAAATGAAGTTTTTCAATCATATATCACAGTTGTTTCAGTATACCTTCCGTTGTCTTAACAACTGGTTGTCTTAGCAACTGGTTGGCTTAGCTGCGAGTGATAAGTATACTCGTTCCACAGGGTGTTGCTGAGGGCGCTAGAAACGACTATACTCGTCAAAATGAGGGTAACATTCTAGCGTTTATTACTTCTTTGTTATACATAGTAGAACGACCGGCTTAACGACTGGTTGTTTGAGGAAGATACACCTAGATGATAACATACAAATAACGAATGTACGTTTGTTGTGTTATTTTGCACGCAGTACACTCGATTACTTGAGTGGTGGCACCCTCTGAACATATACCCACCCATGAAAAAAGCAGACGATGAAGATTACATCTATGGTAGCAGTAATGGCAAAAATGGGGATAAAATATATAAATGCTGAAAAAATGTATCCAGCTTCTAAACTGTTTACAAAATTGTTACAAATTAAATTGAATCTTCTGTATTGTACTTCTTTATTGCCAATGTTTTAGTAAAGAGAACAACATTGTGTTTCACACCAAAACAAATTAAATCAAATCCAACTGAGACGACCCTCTCAATGTTTTGTTTGAAAGACTTACTCCTGCATCTCATGCTTTCGTATTATAGTATCTTATTTATTTTTTAATATTTTTCAATTTCATATTTCAGATTTGTATTGAATTTATCTATAATATTGTGTACCACATACAATTCAGCTCTGACGACCACTGTAGTAGGGTGCATTAAAGTAAGTCTAAAAACAATTTTTTTCAGTGAACTTTTTTCAACCCTTTGAAACCTAATCTCCTGAAACTATGACATGAAGTCCAATAAACAACCCCTACTGAATGAAAATTACACAAATTGCTGTGTTTATATAAATCATGTACGCTACAAGTCAAATAGATTGTCAGTCTTCCAGGAAAAAGACAAATTGGAGGCCCAGTGTGCTCTTTAAACAACCCATAGTAACTTTTGGAAGTGTAGAGGTGTTACCCATACAGCTATCCTTTATGTGGTTCACACCAAAAATACTCCTATCCTATTCAACCCCCGATGCTCTGGTTCACACCATGCCGTTGTTGTGAAGTAATGTTTTGCAAACCTGCCGTCCACTGAATATAAATAAAATTTGATTTTTTTTTTTTGCCAGCAATTGCACCCACTGCTGCGAAAAAATAAGGAAATCTTAGATAAAAAAATGGTTTTTTTTTTTAATTACACCCTATAATGGTACAGTAATTATATTGGTTCTTAAATTTGTATTTCAGAATATTGCGATTACATACATAGGCATCATATTTGGTGGTGATTACATTTTCAGTGGAACAAATTTTATTGGTGTAAACATAAGGTAGAGTACTTTTAGATTTATGTTTTATATTGATAAAATATGGTGGCGATGTTGGTGGTGAAAAGTGGTGATGGTATGGTGACGATGACTACTGATAATTATGATGTTGATAATGATGGCAGTGGTTGTAGTGATGGTGATGATGATAATGAAAATGATAATTATCATTCTCTTACAGCAGCATTGAACATTTTTTACATAGTAGATAGAAACCACATAAAATTATATTTGTTTTTCGTATTTCCAGTGTCACTGCAAGTCTTTTCTACTCTTACTACACATTTGTACTGAAGCAGCAATCAAAAGAAACACCACGCTTAACAGAGATTCAAATGAATGGAGAGAAACACCAAAACACAGAGTTGAAACAATGACATAGAATAAAGAGACAATCTAGACTAAAATAAGCACACACCATTGAAAACCCAAACTTCTACCTATGAATACGAATAAAAAAATATCAACAAATGTAAAAACTGGGGTTGCACACCCCCCCCCCCCACCCCCTAAATTGTATTAAGAAAACTAATCTTGTATTGTATTGGTGATATGAACATTGACCTAATACCGGTAAGATTTTTAAGGTATAAGAGTGCAATTTCTAGGCACCATATTCTCAAAAATTTCTCACCTCAGCCCTAACGATGGTGGGTGTAAGGCGGTGTCGACTTTTCACGCACCCCCTATCACCAAATCCAGCATCCGCTCCAGAAAACATACTTACAGTATCCAATCACAAACTCATTATTGGGTAAAATATATTGGTATCATGGCCTATGCTAGTGTATGGAAAAGAAAGTATAAACCACAGGACTTTTTAATTGCATACACCCATAATTGTATGCATTTTGTGTTGCTACATTGATATTTTTTTACACAGTCCTGTTTGCACTTTTAGAAGTTACATCGTCCTAAAAATGGATGATGGTTTTTTTTTTATTACCCTTTAGGATTTTCCCTAGTGGTCACTCTCCTTTAGGGATCAGGGTTATACAGGCTGTGTGAAGCCTCGGTAGGGTTGAATAACAGGGTTGGGTTGGGTGTGCTATGTGCTTCTAGATTGTTTCATATTTTGCTTGTGTGCTGCATAAGGGGCTTCATATTCAATACATGCTTTATACCTAATATCCATCAAAAATATTTAGTCCCCTTGACAACAACATATCCTGAATATATCCCAAATTGCCACTCTATACCTGTTTAGGATTGAAATAAGAATATTCTAACCTAGTTACAATTGTAAATTTTCAGTTGAATTTATCATTTTTATGAAGACAAACAGTAATTTTAATGATGATGATGAGAATGGCATTGGCTGTGATAATATTCCAATATTTGAGTTATTAGTGATAAAACAATTATATTACATTATACAGTATGCTGTATATAAACAATAGTGATAATGTTTTCTTTGTGGAACCTTCTGTAGTTTTAGGTGGATTCACTCAGCCTTAACCTCAGGACCATTGTTTTTTAATAAGGTGTAGACAGTCCAGATTGTAAAGATGTTTTTGTTCTAGACATTTTATCTTTTCATATTTTTGTAATGGTAACTTATAAATTTGATATTGCTAAGCTTAACAAATTTATTTTTACATATTTATTAATATATATTACATTGTATTATTTTAATATTTTTTGTATCATTTGGAAATGCCATTAAAAAGAAACATATGGAAAAATATTATAGTGTATGTGTATACATGATATTGTATTGTATAAATGATTGCTGGTGTGTGCATACGGTAACAATCCCCACCTCATTCTCAATAGCATAGCATGTTTACATGACAGCTTGAATGTCATGTTAGATTTAACAAAAACTGAATTTTATTAAACTTTTTTCTCATTCTGGACAGCGCCACCAAACGAACAAGTTAATTTCGAGATGGAATAAGGCAAAAAAAATTGAGTACAACACACCAATTCATTGGATATGGCATGCAATAAAGAGTAAGTGACCCAAGATTAAGGCCTGGAAACCAGCCTGATTTCACATGTACCATGTGGGATTTAAGCTGCTATCCTAACAAGATTGTATTGAATGGAGGATGCTCACAAAAAATAAGCACAATTCCAAAGGTGGTGATGAGGATCACCATTTGATCAGTGGTGGCTCTAGAAATTGGTGTCATATGACATCATCATGCCTATATATGGGCATATTACTCAAATATGTCGCATGAAATTTGAGAGTAAGCAAGAGCTTAACAAGTCCAAAACAAGGTCTAAACCTCTGTGGAGTCCTGTAGTAAAACCCTGGTGGGTTTCTAATGGTACAAATTGTGGAAAAGCAATAACTGGTTGGATCGGCAAATTAATATAAACTCGGCTATTACAGAGTCTTTAAGTGGCTTTCGAGCCTGACAACTCGATTGTGTTTTTGGGCAAGGTACTTACTAGCATTGGGGAGTGCTTAACAATGATAATAATAATAAACTTTTTAAACAGTAGCACTGTGGACAGAGAATTCTCAACAGTAATATATTCATTGCCAAATTTATTAAAATTGTTTTATTATACATGGCATATTCTTAAACTACAAAGAAAGAGCATATGTAATTCTGAACCATACAGTGATCCAAACTGATAAAATAAAATATATATATATGTATAACAACCATAGACATGTTTCACAAAGAACCATACATCACAAAAAAAAGATAACTGAATTTTGTGGTTGTGCTTTGTCAAATACTACTACAGATTAAGTTCTTAAGAAAATATTTGTGGGTATGGGTCTTAAAATCTGTTTTATAATTTCAAATAAAAAACTACCCTGTTTTAAAATAATGCATTGACTTGAAATTATATATAACCACCCTTTTTTTAGTGAACATCCTAGACTGTGAACACCCTAGACTTGAGAAAGAATGAACTCGAGTCAAAGACTAGCGCCCTCACATCCCAATCTACCCTTAAAGGGGTGATGGCAGTAGGTTTTAAAGGCATCCCTGGGTGGGAAGGGAAATCAGAGAAAATGTCTCGCTCAAGGACGGAAGCGATTTGGAAAGCATGAGAGTCAATTGCCGATTGCTATACATATCACTGTCATGACAGGCAGTTATAAAACTTAAAAAATAAAATATGACGACAAAAAAAATTTGTTTTCAATAAAAATGTTTTTGTCTTGACAGTAAGTTTTATCATTTCACTTAAAATCAAATCTGTAAATGAATAATAAAATAATCAAAATCACTATTTTCAAATATAAAATTTCTTGTTCACTGATTTATATGAAGAGCATCTATTACTGAAACATAATAAAATAAAATATAATTTTAATTGATAAAGTACATTTAGATTATACCCCCAGTTCCTGTCAAGCGTGTAGTCCGTGAGGTGAACATCATACTCCGATCAGATAAATAATTGGTTTAGTTTGTGTATTTGAATATGAATTTCTGATTGTTTCCTAAAGATATAATCTCATATTTGTGCACCTACTGTATACGTGTGATAAGAAACTTCACAAGATTTCAATAAAAAAAAAAGGTATTTTAATAACAGGGCCTTTGTTATTCTATAGCCACTGAAATAAATCAATTACAAAATAAATCTAAAAACTGGACATTTCAGTAAAGTTTACAAACACCATCAAAACTACACTCATGTATGAAACTTATAATCATCTAATAACACTGAATAAATATGTTGATTAAAAGTTATACACATACATTAGGGTATTGGATGTTTTTTTGAAATTACACGGGAAATAAATACAATTTTATTCTAAGCCCTAACAAAATAACACCATTAAGATCCAACAACATAATACATCCCACTTCAAACTAATAATGAGATAACAGATTTTCTTATCTTTAAATGATATATATATACTGTACCTGTATCTATATTTATTAAATCAAGATGAAATTCATGCAAAGAAGTACAGTAATAAGATTAAGGTTCTATTAATCCAGGTTGAAGAATGTGAACTGTTTTGTCATGCCGTCTTCACATCTATGCTAGAGACCCCGAATTAGGGTTCTTTTTACTTCACACCCCTCTTAAAGAGACTGGATTAAGATTTGTGACTCAATTCACTTGTTGAAGAGATGAAATTAGGTTAGAAACACATACAGTCACTGTGATAACACTAACATATTCTTAACTCGCTGACAACAATTTACGCCAAAAGAAAAAACAAATTCAATGATATCTAGAAGACATCTGATTCTCACATTGCATCATTTTCATATTTTGCATTATTACTTTTTTCCTCTTCAAATTAATTTCCTGTCAACCTTTTTCCTGACTATAAAGTAATACACATGTTCTTTATTTTTATTTTTTTTTTGGAACGAGCATTCACTTTTTCAAACATCTTATAAGACTTATCCATCTCACAATCCTCTCACATCCCCTCTCCCTCCTAACTTTTATACAGTGGGGGATATTCAAAATAGTTGCAATACTTTTGTATTTACATTTATTTATAGATATATGTATATATAGAAATACATGCTTCCCACATCGCGAAGCACTGGCATTCTGTCTCTGAAATATCAGCACAGAATTATCTGAATAATCCTATTTACAAATCTTAAATTCGGCAGCCATTTTTCATTACTGACAACTTACTTTACAGCACCTCTATAAGTTTACATAATATTTGCATATTCTTGTCAGTTTTTTAGTATTTCTGATTATTATATATTTCTGATTCTTAAATACAGGCACAAATTAATCTCATAATTTTTATCCTTGAATATTATTATTTTTTTCTTGCATTCTTCCAAAAAAGTTTGCTAATCACTCCAAATAATCTCTAAATATCATAAAAAAAGAGAATTTTACTAATACAAAAAATGTTTAATTACATGTATTTAAATAATTAATTTGCTTAGTGTTTTGTATACGTTCTATTATATAAAATTTTTGACATTTTATAAATTCAATAGTTTACTGGAATGTTCCAATTGATCATAACAGAGGATTCCTAGAGAGGAGTGTTTGCTAGTCAAATAAAATTACAACCTTCAATCAGGTTCCTGTTATCCAGTCTACAGCACCAAGAATTGTTGGGGATGGCTATTAAGTAGAAATGATTCAAAACAATTTATAGAAGCTGCAACAATATTTTGGAGAAGTTTATATTAGTCAGAAATCTTGGATATTTCTGAATTCTTTTAAAGAAAAGGGAGTTTATCAAAGTCTAGCTTATACAAAATGTTTCTGGTTGATCAACATCTGTAATATCATATCAATTATTAGTTATTACTTTTTCCTATTTATTCATCATTTCTATAATTCAATTTAATTCATATTAAGTGTGTGTGACCATAAACACTTTAGTACCATTCATCATATTAACATAGTTTTTTGGGGGATTTTGTGTAATCTTCATATTGAATTTACTGGTCATTTGCATATTTGGTGGAATGAGACAAAGCTAGTCAATGGGATATTTTGTTTCTTAAATAAACATTTAAAAATTTACAGAAACTTTCTACTCCTACGCCTAAATTCACTTGGTGAGACCGACCTAAAGATATTGTAGTAAGCTAGCACGACAACCAGCATGTGCCAATGATAATAAGTTTGGTTTGTATAATGAAGACCTTTCCCAATCAGTGACTACAATGTTAATGGAATAATTTTATCATAATCATTAATTTTATTATTATTATTATTATATTAGTTGTATTTTTTTAAAGATTCTTATTACAAGATTATTATTAATATTATTATTATTATTATATTTAGATTATTATTCTTGTTTTTGTAAACCAGCTGAACATTGTAAACTTTAGGCACTATATAAATACTGTATAGAGGTATTATTTATTATTATTAATATTATTATTATTATTATTATTATTATTATTATTATTATATTACAGTAATTGATATACACCCTCTGTAGTCTGATCCGATTCTTACTGCACAAAGTCAACTACATACAGTACTACATAGTTTTATATGATCATAATTATAAAACTGATATCACAGACAATATACAGTATAATGTTTAATTGTTTTTGCTCTAGGATGAATTTGAATTTACTGTAGAAAAATGACCCTCTGTCCCTACACTTTATGCCTGCTGCAAAAATTAATTAAGCAAGCATACTCTGTCCACATCTAAATCAAATTTGCATCAATGTTCACTTTTTATCCCCTATATGACTTGTATGTTAAGTAGGCTTTGCTTTGCAAATATTCTGTGCCAGCTATACCTAAGGTAGACTATACAGTCCATTTGTTGCTGGGACTCGGAAAATGGGAGTCTATACCATACATTCCAAAAATGCATTTCTCCCATAAAGGTAACTTCCCAATAACAAAATACTGAAAGCAACACACTTCCCTGCACTGTGTGGAATAATAGAATATTCCATTATCTGATATAAAGGTATAATATATGGAACAGAATTAATTGTTCATTTATTGTAACATAAACAATTAAGTAATAAAATCAATGAATTTATACACAAAAAAAAAAACACCAAACCATGCTGGTAGACTGTGAGGATACCAGAGTTAAAAACCACCTGAAAATGAAATGAATGTTTTTCTTTTATTTTGTTAAAATTGCCATAGATCATCGGTTCATAGAATTGCTTCCCGTAATTGATTGTGATCTTTTCTGCGATGCTTGTCGTTGCCGTGCAAGGAATGATTGGCCCCCTCCGGAGTGGATCAACCGATCTTCAGCAGCTTTACGATGTAGATTCATACCCTAAGGGAGTAAAGAAGGAAGTCAGCAATGCAAGAATATTTCCAGCTCATCTTGGTTAAATTGTATTTAAATTAATTTTAATTTAATTTGTTACATGTAAAACTACTGCCTAGCCCACTACATGTTTTCTGTACAAATACTTGTAAATTATCCATAATCACATCAATATATGGGCAACTCACATATATTTGTCACAAAGTATTTCCAACTCATCTTGATTAGATTGTATTTAAGTTCATTTCAATTTTAGTTATTTGCATGTATATTACTGTCTAAAGCTTCATGTTTTCTGTACAATTATTTGTGATTTACCCATACAATATGTGCATGACTGTCGTTGTCACATCACATCCATGGGCAAATCACACATGTAAAAGCAACTCACCATATTATACCATGCTGAAACAATCAACTTTTCTTCATTGTCTCTGGTTACCTTTGACCTCTCTTTTTCGCTCTGTGATAATGAAAGAAAAGGAAGTGGTGAGAAGTTATGAAACTATTGTTATCTACAGTAATAGAATATAAATTAAAGCAGTGTACATTCATTATAGTACACATACCATATACTATCAGTTTATGATTTAATGTGTCCAACAGTTGACTTTATACTGGCAAACGGACAGCCAACCTATTGCCATTTTTCTAACTTGTACTGTTTATAATATCTACCACTATTAAGCTACAGTAATTCTAATCCTACGATGTTATACTTACTTCCAGGAGTTCTATAGTGCGTTGTTTCTCTTGTAATTGGTTCTTGAGAGCCTGGATCTCTGGAGCAGAACCAGGATTGTGTTTGGGGTCGAGGGTTCGAATCACAGCCTTGGCCTTCTCTAGGTATTTCTTGTACCTCTCCTCCATGGCTTTCATATCTTGCTCTTTCTTAACCAGTTGAGATTGCATCAGCTTCATTTTATCCACTAAGAAATAACCAAGAAATTATAATTTATAACATTTATTAAGTTTTATAGATCTTACATATTGATAGCGATTAAAATGATCACGTCCCAATAATGCATCTTGTATTAACAAGCCCGGTATACTACCATACACAACTAACCATTGGATGTAACTTTAGGTTCAAGATGGTCGATGTACTCCCGTTTAACTTGTAATTCTGTGTCAGCTTCAATCAACTTCTCCCTGTTTAAAAAAAATATATTTCCAAAATTAGACAGCTGATAGAGACTTTGTGTAGAGGGTCTGCGGGTAATGGAACTACTAAAATTAAATCAAGGAAATTGCAATATTAATGCAATGTTTTCCAAAATAAGCTTGTTGCAGAGCAGAATTAATCCCATGTAAATGTGACTTGCTCCCATATACAGGTTAACAAGTCAAAGTAACTTATATACTAGGTCTAGGTAGAAGGCTAGAAGTAAGAATATTAGCCCAGACCTACAGTTGGCACCCATGGTTCATGACTTATGTTTGGGTTGTAAAGATTTTTTGATAGGTCGTCGGGTTAAATCTGAACTTAGAAGCCATAAAATACTCGCACCTGGGGCTGAAATATAGCGCGAGCCACTGCACAGCCCGTCAAAAGTTTAAGCTGGGGTACCAAAGCATGGCCGGCCGAGAATGGTCAGCGTGTGATTCGAACTGACAACAAGGTTTAGCATCTGAGGGAGGAGCGCTTCGCCAAACTGCCTTCCCCAAATGTGTGTTGTGAATACAGTGAATTTTCAAACTGTACTCACAGAATATATTCTTCTTTTCAATGAATATTTGTTTTGTTAGTTTACACTATGAATCTTTTAATTAAAAAATTAAATTAAATGAAAAAAATATATATATCTCATTAGCATACTCGTGGGATGGAGCACAGGGAAAAACCATCCAGGTGAAAAATAATTCTTAATGAATATGTTCTAATCTAAATTAAAAGTAAGCATTCATAAAGTTCTTGATGACATATCTTATATTTGAAGTGGAACACACCCAAAGGTATTTCTATTACCCTATATGGAAAAGCATGGTTAAAAACATGATTGCAACACAATCAAAATGAGAAAAGGCAAAAACAAAGTTAAAGGATATAACTTTTATCTAGTATATACTGTACTATCATGCAAACCAAACTCAGTATGGGCACTAAAAAATATCCATTAAGCCAAATAAAAAAAATTAGTGTGTTGGTCATGCCCGACAGACCTAAAATGTACGAAATTGAGGTTCGGCATTTCATTTTATATATTTTTTATTTTTTTTACTACAACAAAAAAATTTTTTTTTTAAAGGGCTACAAAAGGCAGGAATAAGACTATCTGGCTGGACGGTAGGTGAAGCAACAGTGTTGTGCGATCGTTTTGCTTTTAAATATAGATTTACAAATAGTCTTTGTTGTATTTTTGAGTATTTTATACTTTTTACGCTTTTTTGGTTAAGAATCTTTTCCTACCGACCTACCCATTTTATGGATTTTTCCAAAACGTGGCCAACGCAAGAATTTTTTTTTTCTTGGCCTTATTTGAGAATCGCTCATTTACCCATAACATTAGATATAATGTTGGGTAAGAGGTCTTGAGGCTAATGCCAATCTTAGTCCTGGAATGAATTAAGCATGAAGTGATGCGAGGCGATATGTTAAAGCTAAGGCTATTTGCTGTTATCTGACCAGGGACAGATTGTAGTGGAAAATCAGTAAAACTGTCTTACCACACCTTGAAATTAAGAATAGATGTTGATGATGATTTATTGTATTTTTATTTCTGTATTTCGCAAATTCGTTTTTAGAACAGATGATAATGATGATTTTACTATTTATCCTAGACCTAATCCAGAAAATGGTTCTCACACAGTGCATGCATGTAATGGATGCAAAATGCAATTTCATTTCAAATTACAAAGAGTTTCATGTTGAGTCTAACAGATCAAAGTTGACAATGTATACCAAATTTTAGCACTCTCTTTAGTTTTCAAATGTACATAATTAAAGTCTACTTTAAAAGGAACGCCTTAACCATATCAAGTTCTAGGGAAGTAACAATATTGTTTCCATAATTTGTTTTATTCCATCATGCATCTAGGGTGATTTAAAATTGGTTAGTGATGATCAATTTTCAATCATACACTGTGAACACAAGTGCATTTATTCAGCATGCTGTATTAATACAGTTCTTCCTCCATGTAAAAACCACTTTTAGATCGGGATTTTCCTTGTTTTTATCAGCTTTCACCTTTAATTACAACAATAATTATCACAAAGATCAAAGATATAGTAGGCATTCATCTGGTTCACAAAAAGCGGTCCTTAATTGGAGGTGGTTTTGAATTCAAAGTTTTCATTTAGACCTTTGCATGCATTTATAATGTGCAAGTCTTAATGCTCCTTGTGCACTTAGTTTAGTGATTGGCAACAATCAACACAATGAGAATCTGCTTAAAAAAATAAAGCAAAATATAGAAATAAAGAAATTCTACAACACAGGTGAGGAGAGATTCAGTAAACACTTCTGTATGCCCAATGTGCTTCCCCTATGAATGACAGGGTGGTGGTGGGGCCGAATATCTCATATTTCCATTGGTAGGCTTCCCTATTTCTTCCAATCTACAGGATATACAAAAGAGAGCTTTGTCCTGCAGGGTAGAGTACTTAAGCACTCGTTTGACAGTAAGCATTTCCTTCAGTGTTTGTTACTGCTTTCACTACCTGCCATGTGTTTATCCATTAATGACAATTGCTATTACATAATTATAAACAGTCTGAACATTACATTTCCATTCCCTTTTACAGCCAATGTTTTAGTCTTATATAAACCCTCTTCCATTGTTTTTTCAGACATGTTTAAGATTGCATTTCGTCTTATCTGTAGGGCCTCCTAAAAAATTCCACTGTTTGAGCGAAAGCTTGAAAAATATAATTTATTTGAGCCTGTATAAAAAAGGGTTCTTTTTTTCATTATTTAATACTCTTATCTTTTAGTAATGATGCAAACAAAAATTATAATCACTTTTAATTTACTTAATTTGATAATTTACTTAATTATCACATTAATAAATTAGTACGGCAAGTTTTGTTTCTTTTAACCATTTATGCAATGCAAAAAGCTTCAATTCAAAATAACCCATCCACCTTGCAGCAAGTTACTATACGTACAGGTGCCAAGCTAGTGTTTACCTCCTATTCATTGACCGTGCATAGAAGAATTTGAAAGGCTTCATAAAACTGGTACTAAGAAAATGTAAAATAAATGTATAAATGTATATATATGGTTTTTGTTGAAAATCAGAATTAGGCCCCTCTGTAGTTTATAGACAAAAGAAATTATCTATCTATCTATCTATCACACAAAAAAATGTGTGAGCTGAAGTATATTACAGTATTTATAAGGAAAGTAGGTAATTTTTTTTTTACAAGCTATGATTTGTGATATGTTGATTTGTGATATGATGGTTTGTGGTACAGTTAATGCACAAGGAAAATAAAGTTTATTGTTTTTGATTGTCATTGTCTTTTTGTCATTGTCAATGGTACTTACTTTTGTTCTTCAATCTTCAGCTTCAAGTCGTTATTCTGTAACCAAAAATAGAAATTAAATGATTTGTACTGCACATCAGTCCAGGATCACAATGCATCATAGGAATTTTTTTTAATGTACTGTAATAAATATGCAATATCAGTTATGAATATTAAGTTAATTTTGATGTTGTTAAAGGTTTTCCTAAATTCTGTAATTGTTTCCTAAATCCTAGGTGTGGTCTTCATCATGATCATCACTATATCTTAGCATTATAGCATTACTGCCCTATGCTTTTTGTTGTTGAATATTTTGTATGAATTGTCTATGCAAAGAAAGCACTACAGGTCTAAAATATTTTTCTATAGAAAGTTGTACTAAAAATAAACAAACTAATAAAAACAAAATATTCTTGTAATGCACACATATTACTATTTCTTATACTGTATATAAATATAATAATTTAATCTATATTTATAAAATATTTTGTAGTGAACTATGTGATTTATAAATATCATGAACAGAATCATTACATTCTTCTATGAGTTTTGCTACCTCTTTATATATATACTGGTATTATCATTCACATTCAGAATGCTAAAAAAAAAACCAACATGGCTAAGTAGTTGTAAAACTCAATATAAAATCAATAAGAAAACAAAATAGTATTGCCTACAACATGCTACACTGAATAGATTAATGAACATGCTGAAGAAATTCAAGGAAGACCACCACCAATCACAGAAAAAAATACATCTTTCCTTCATGCACCCAACCAACAAAACGCATGCAAATGAAAACAAAAGAACAAACAACACTGCAAACACAATATGTAAACATAAAGGCAAACACATATGATATCAACCTCAAAAAAGAAAAAAAAAACAATTCATATGTTTGTACTTGCAAGTGTAGCTGTGTACAGACAAGTTGGCTTGCGTAAATACGTGTGTTGGAGTGTATG